ATATATATATATATAAAAATTAAAGAATTCACAACATTTTACGGCAAATTCGAATGCAGACAAGAAAATAATATATGATATGCAAAATTAATTTAAATAGTCGCATACAATTGAGCATGAAAATGGAAAATCAACTTGTTATAAACGTAGTTTTGCTTATTTTTTAATAAAAACAATAATTCAAGAAAATCCGAGAAAATATATACTGATGATTTTTTGTTTAATTTTAAGTCTTTTTTCCAAAACGATTTCAAGTCAAACTTCACAAAATGAAATCAAAATTAAATTGTAATGCAGTGCTCTACTTTAAACCCAAATCCTTTTCGATGGTGTGCGAGCACACAGCCATCATTTGATCCTTGATGTTCAGGAAATTCTTAACTGCCGTCGGTTTGGCCTCTGGCCATTCGCTCAAATCCCGATAGATTGGGCGGCAGAACTTCATGCGGAAATTGGAGTTGGCAAACTCAATAATCTCATCCAGGCGCTTGATGAGGCGAGCACGTATGATCAAGCGATTGAGGCGGAAGCGCACCTCGGCGTTCCTTGATTGCCCCAAATTGTAGGTGTTCTCAAGCAGTTCGATTTTGCGCTCATTAAAGTCAACAATGTCCTTGCTCTCAATTAATTTGCCTAAGAATTCAATAAGTTGGTGTATGGAAATAGCCTGCTTAATGTTCGCATCGTTGGTCAACTCATCTACAGTCTTGGTGCTCCACTGAGTGGCCAGGTCTTTGGTGACATTAGACAGGGATTCATCGAATCTAAAAATGAAACAAAATTAGTTTCTTAATGTCCTCTCTCAGAATATGCGCTACCTACTTGGGGATAATGGGCGGCATGCCCTCGCTTTTAAGCCACAAGTCCCAGTCCACCAGGCTCAGTTTATCTTTCTTGTCCGTATCCTTGAAAAATTCGTACAAGGCTCCCTTAAAGTCGTCCGTAACAATCGACTTGTATGCGAACTTCTTCAGGTAGTCACGCAGGAAGGGCTCGAAAACGCTTGGGCCACCAAGCAAATCCTCCAGATAGCGCAGGAATGTGGACCCCTTGATGTAGGGAACCGAAGAGAATGCATCATCGGGCCCACAGTTGCTCAAGTCGACAACCAGTCTGGTTAGCTCCGGCGTGTCAGAGAGTTGAGTGCGTAGCTTCAAGGGGAAGTCGGAGATTAGATTGACTCATGCTTGCATATGGGGCATACGTTGCTTACACACTCCTGCAGCTCGGTCAGATTACTGAGCATCCTGAAGTCCAGCTCCTTGGCACCCTGCATGCGACCCACAATTTTGGACTCGACGAACACAGTGAAGCCCTCATTCAGCCAGAAATGCTCAAAGTTCTTATTGGTCACCAGATTACCAGTCCAGCTGTGGGCAATTTCATGGGCAACCACGTTAGCTAAAGATTTGTCGCCAGCAAGCAGCGTGGGAGTAACAAAAGTCAGGCAGGGATTTTCCATGCCGCCAAATGGAAACGAGGGCGGCATGACTAGCAAATCGTATTGCTTCCACACGTACGGTCCACACAAATCTGAAGCGGTCTTCAGCATGGTCGATGTTTCCGAGAATTCCTCAGCGCACGCATCAACAATTGCCTCCTCGGCCCACACATTTGAGTTGTCGCCCAAACGACGGGACACGAGTTTACCAATGGCAATAGCCACCAGATATGCGGGGATGGGCACCTCCTGCTTGAAGTGGGTCTTGCCAGGCTCGTTCTTGTCAATCAAAGCACTCATCAGTGCCGTCAGCTCAGTGGGATGTTCCACAACGGCATTATAAGTAAACTTTACAGCTGGCGTATCCTGGCAGGGCATTACAGAACGTGCGTGTATGGCCTGGCATTGCGAGAACATATACGGATGCTTCTTGCCCAGCGTTTGGGCGGGATTCAACCATTGCAGTCCACTTGCGTTGCTGGCCGTTTCGTAATCAATGCGTACGTTCAGGCTGCAATATAGATATGATTATAAGTGCCATTATTTACAAGTGCTATAAAAAGATTAGCTGCCAGCTTATCAGAAAGCCCGCTTACCTGCCCTTCGCAGTGCCGGTTGGCAGCTCCAGCGTCAGCTTCTGGCCCATATCGGGCACGGGATCGCTGATGAAGTAATTAATGGGCAGCTCAGTGCCGCCGGCTAGTAACGTGGCATTCTTGACGTCTATATCACGAACATCCAGTAGCTAATAAAAAAAAAAAAGAGAACCTATTAAATATACGGAAGAGTGTAACTACTTTATATACTCACAATTTTCTCTAGGTTGCTGGACAGCACATTGAATTTGTGCAAGACACTGCCGCGCAGCTTGGTGGCCTCAAAATCAACTTTCCAATTAATAGAGCTGTGCTCGGTGGTTATAAGCTCCGGCTCTGAGTAGGAGCTGGGATCAACGGTGCTCAAACGACCCATATTACGTTTTTGTAACTTATATATTGGCAACAGTTGCGATTGATGGAGCTCTGGCTGCAGCTGTGTCGTACACAAGGTTCGTCTGGAGACTGCAAACAAATGGAAAGAGGGAGTAATTAGCTTTGTTCGAGTGCCCGATAATTGCGATAAGACGGGCAATGCCAACGCCTGTTAGGCGAATACACTGCAACAAATTAGAAGAATCTCACCAACTGCCGGGCTTGCAGAACACTTAAGACGCAATAAAGATGACCACAGACCACAAAAATGCGAGGGCGTTTCTTAAAAAATGGCGAAAAAGCACAAATCACTGCTGATGCCGGCAGTACAAAACAAAGTGTAAACCAGGGCTGCTGCTATGCTATCGATACAAATATATCGATATGTACAACACACAAAAATGATCGCCCAGATTACTTTGCTCTCAAAATATTGTATAAAACAAGCAATATAAACAAGTGGCTTCGATCGGCCGAAGATTATATGCCCTTGCGTTATGATATGACTCTAGTATACATATGTAATATCTGCCTCCGCCTGTGCGGTAGACTTTCTGTGGCAATTTTGAGATACCCTTTGCAAAGGTATTAAGACACAACGAACACATTTGTAAATAACAATATTATATTTTGCTTAACAGTTAGTCTGATGCCTGCCTTAACGCAACACATAATCCTTTGGGTAATCCATTATAGCGGGGAAGTTCTCCAGCGTTTCCTTGTCTATGTGATCCAATCGCTGGGGAACTGTGCGCGGCGTGCGTATCTGATTCGTAACATTCGCTAATAGGTCCTCAGGCACTTTGTCGTCGGCAAAGAGATGCAGCCGTTGCATCGTATGCCTGCGCTGTAGATTACCCGTCATTGAGTTGTACACAGCCTTTTTCATAACCATGGTGGGATCCTTCTCGTGCAGCTGCCAGGCCAGCGTCCAGGATGCGCCGCCCGGATAGCCAGTGTGATGGAAATAAACGCGCTTTACCCATTCATCGCCAGGCAACGCTATCTCTTTGGTGTTGATCAGCACCACATGGTCGCCGCAGTCATCTGCAAATATAGCTCAGATTTAGTCTTGATTGGAGTATATTATGTTAAGCTAACCTAGAACTGGCCCCGGCTTGAGTATTCTTCATTCACTGCGAGCACCTCTCACGACCGGCAAACGCTTTACAACAACATAAATTGACACTCGCGCCGCTTGTGACGTAACAAGCGCATAGAATTTCGCGTGTTTCCATAGTTGTTCACTTAAAACTATTACCAAACTACTTAATTCTGGCTTCTACTTACTCATAGGATGATATATTGGCTTATGCAGGCCCATTAAATGTGTTTTGACCAGTTGAGCGGACTCAAAAGGATTTTGCCAGGTGCAGTCATATATGTGCCATGTACGCGCAAAAGTGGCCCATTGCTGTAAGCAATGTCCTCGTTTAAGCAATTGAGGATATAAGTTCTATCAATACAAACCTGTACGCGTTTAGCTATCGACATTGTTGTTAATATTTTATGAAAGAATTTAAAACAGGCATAAAAACAACTTCAAAACTTATTTACGTGCCTGTCACGTGAAGTTGGCTGTGCGCAATTTTTAGCTCGCATGCTGCTGACATCGCGCATGTGGCGCAGTCACTTGAAGTTGGCTGCGCTTTGGCAGTGCTGCCAATCACTTACAAATGTTATATTTAGGTAGAATGGCACCACTAGCCTTATTGCGCGCACACTTTTTTAATTTGAAAAGGTGCAATATTCAGAAACACCGTCAGTGCTAATTTTTGTTATTTATTTTCGTTTGTAATTTCATTTAAACATTTTCTATAGTTACTAAAATTACTTATGCACTGTTTATTATTAATATTATTTAAATATTATTGAAAATACATTAGTTGTTTCACGAAACAATTTATTAAACATCCTTGGTACGTTCGCTGCCTTACAGTTTGCTTTCGTTTTATTCTATTTACTTTTTGTGTTAATGGAAATATATTTAAAAAACTAACAAATAAGTCTAGATTTAGTTACAGTTTTCTCACTTACATACGTTTCCATTTTTTCTTCTTCTTTTAATACAATTTAATGAACTTAACGTAGCTGATTTTTGTTAATTCGATTTACAACTGGCCAAGTGCGATTTTATTTATAGTTTAGTTTACTTTGCAGTTCATATATACCCATATAATACACACGAGGTTCTTTTTTATAGTCAATTTCTCGTTTTCCTTTCCATTTGGTTTTTAATGTACGCATATGATTTTTGTGATTCCATTTTTTCTCCCTTTTTTTTTGTTGCATTTTTAATGAAAATATATATGTATGTATATATAAAAAATTATTTACAATTTGTGTGTTTAATGAAATTCCCTACTTGACGAGCTTGATTTTAATGCGAAATTATTGTTAAAACTTTTCAAGTGTATGAGCATTTTTGTTTTTTTTCCATTATTTTTGTTTTTGTTTTTTGCGTAATTAATTTAATTCGAAAAAAAACAACAAAAATTGGTATATTACATAACAAAGAAAACGGTAAAATGAAACTTGAAACTGACAACTGCCCGTCTCCAGTTCTGTGTACCCAAACCCGCACCCGCACCCCGCACCCCGAACCCCGCAACCCGTAACCGCGCCCACAACCAGAGTCAGAGTAGGACCCAAGCCCCAGTGGCAGAGGCCGAGGTAGAGAGAGCCTGGCCAGAGACCCAGATTTAATGCCAGCCAATGGCCTACAGACTATTTTTGGCACCGAATCAAAAACCGAGACGAATATAGTATATCGCGCAAGAGCTTCGCCACATTGCACAAGCCCGCGAGCTGTTTGCGCTGTTTTACAGCAGCTGCAGCTGCATTTGCATCCGCATCCTCGCCATCGCTGCCGCCACGCCCCCAGCCGCCGCCGCCGCGATGCCGCCGCCGCCAGACGTAGTTGGGCTTGCGCTCAGAGGACTGATGCCGGCGAGCCGGTAACTTTTTGTAGCATTTGCATCAGCTGCTCCGTGGCCGACTGATTGGCGGCAATGGAACCACCGCCAACGCCTAAGCCAACGCCCACGCCCACGCCCAAGCCTACGCCCACAAGACCAAGACCAACACCACCAACACCCACCACACCGCCGGCAGCTGTTGATGACGGCGGCGATGAGATCGATGTGGCCGCCGATGCCGATGACGAGGACGATGGCGTCAGCGCCAGCTTGGATTCTGGAGCAACAAAAGAAGCTGAGATTAGATTCGGTACGTTTTGTCTATGGACTGCCTTGCATACTGTCATCGCTCTCCAGGTAGGTCACATACGAGTCTGTGCTATCCGGATGATGGTGCGACGTGATGCCCGAGTCCAGGCTGCTGCCACCAGGCGGGCCGTTCATTTGCTGACCCGGCGGTGGTGGGTGTGGTCCCTGTGGCGGATGTGGTGGCAGCACGGGCATTCCATTTAAATCGTAGCCGTGCATCTAGATCATAGACAGAGAATAGATAAACCATATTTTAGTCTCATAGTCTAATAAGCTCTTTAAAAATATATTCAAACCGGTTCATAACCGGTTCAATATTTTAATAAATATTCTTTTCATGCTAGCTTCAAATTGTTATTATTATTGTTCCAAAAAAGTTTTAAGCGGGTTGAGTTTTCGTTTAGAACTGGTTCATAAGAAGCTGCAGAGTGGTTCATTATCGGTTCAGTGTATAAATACTTTTGCTCTTATTTCAAATATTTTTTTCAAAAAGTTTCGATCACGTTCGAAACTGGTTCAACAGTTTGAACTGGTTCCAGTTTTGAATTGATTTGCTCAGACTACAGATCTGGCTTGGAACTAGTTTAAAATTAAATGTTCTATATAGGCTCACAATAAGATATTAAAATATGTTTACAGTAAATTGTCAAATTTCTTAAATCTCTATTAATCTAAGCTGATCTCTATATAGAGGTTAGGCTCGGATTTGGGTTCGGCTACTTTTTAGGCAACTTCTTCATACTAAATAAAGTGAAATTCTGGATATAAATCGGCTCGGTATAAAACCTAGCCTATAAGAAAGGAACTAGCTAGGAAGCTGCTTGGAATTCTTGAATGAACTACCTGTAACTCTCTTGGGAATTGGTTGGACTGCTCACCTGATTGACCAGCTGTTGAAATGCGGGCGTGTGCGTATTGATGGCCCCATTGCTATCGAGATCGGCGTGCAGGGCAAAATCGCTTAAGGCTTTCCATGGCGGTTGATATGTCTGCACATCCAGACCCTGAAGATTCAGCGGCGAATCGTGTCGCACCGGCGAGCTGGCAATCATGGGTATGCCCTGCATGGCGCCATAGCCCAGCTTGCGACCCTCCTGCGAAAACCGAAATAGCCCCCAATTAGATATATAGATACATGTGTGGATCGGTCGAAGTTGAAGCTGGCTTACCTTCTCCTGCTGCATTTGCAGCTTCATTTGGATGGTCTTCTTCTTGTCCTTGCAGCGCTTGTTCTGGAACCAGACGCGTATGACCCGCGGCGACAGGCCCGTCATCTCAACCAGCTGCTCCTTCATGAGCGCATCAGGTCGCGGATTAGCATTATAGCAGGTTCTACAAGGACACTCTCGGATTAGCTTATGGCCTGATATGGGCTGGTTGAGCCTGGGACTTACCTTAGGGTATGCAGCTGCTTCTCGTTGAGCACGGTGCGCACTCGCGTCGGCTTGCCGTCCGATGGACCCGAGGGACGCTTTTCCCTAATACTTTTGTGTGAGCCCGATTCGCTGCCAGAATCTGTAGTGTAGAAATTGGGTTAAGACTTTGTGTTCAAGAATCGTTTGTCAATTCGCAATCATTTTGCTATTTTTGCCAACGCTTTGAAGTTCGCGTTGATAAATTGTCTTCAACTACGGCCACAAAGGCGAATGCCAATAGACCGCAGCACGCATGAAAAAAAAACAAAAAACAAAACAAGAAGAAACCAAAAATAGCACAGTCTCCGACCCTGAGAGACCCCTGTCCCCCATCTACTCCCTGCCACTGGAGATCAAAGAGGCTGCACGGCATACGAAAATCATGTCTGAGGCACGGGCACGGGCACGGGCATGGGCATGGGATGGGGATGGGGATGCGTGGTTCTTGGCGCGTCGTGGTTCGTAATTAAGTCGTGTTTCACAACACCGCGACAACTTGTTATCGTTATCTAATTTCGATAACGATCGCATCCATGAATGAGCCGGGCGCGACAATCGATCGGCGTTCCGTTTGAAGCTGGGTGCAGTCACAAAAGAACTTCTTTCATTTGGCAATTTGGCAAAAACTTTTATACAAATTAAAGCGCCAAGCTGTGACTGTAACTGTGACTGCGACTGTGACTGCGACTGTAGGCGCGACAGGCGAGGTTTGCGCTCGGACTTCAAAGCGCCGCAGTTGGGCAAACACTTGGACGTGCTGCGTGCCGTATTCGAGTTGAAAACAAATAGACGCACAGGCACAACAAGTGGAACTACTCTATGAATGGGGACCCTATCGAGACGCTGGATTGATCAGGCGATCCGGCAAGATTCACAGATCGGGCAGCCCCAACAACAACAGCAACAACAACATTTCCCAAGAAGTTGTCAATGTTTGCCCGCTTGAATGCTTCAATGCAGCTTTGAGTTGTTTTTCTCCTTCTTTTTTTTTGTGTTTGCCACAGCAGCTGCTGCAGCCCCCTCCCCGCCTGCGACACCTTTTGCAAATTCCCTCTGACAACTATTAGAGGCACCTCTTTCTCTCTCTCTCTCTCTCTCCCTCGCTCTCTGGCTTTGGAGCCCGCACACGAGCTTGCCCCGACTTTGACAACACCGCCGCATGTTGATAAGGTCTGTTGGGTTGTACTCGCCCTGCCCTCCCCCCTTGCGTCTCCTTCAGTTTAAACAATGAGATTATGTTGACGATATGGTTTGACAATTGTCGTACATTGTTTGACGTTTGCCGATTTCTATTGACACTTTATCGCTTACAAGGATGTAACGCTGTCTTTCTGAGAATAAAACACGAGCACAGCCCTTTGTACTGCCGACCCACAGACGTTCTCTCTCTCTTCTCTCTCTCTCTCTCTCTCTCTCTTTAATTCTATTTAGCCTAATTGGGGCTTTGGACTTTCAATCTAATCGGATAACTGGGCCAGGTTGTTAGGCAGCGTTACGTGGAAAAATCTATTGCAATTTGGGCTAATTGAGTCTTCGGCTCTTTTTTAGCTGGTAACCAGACTAGTAGGGGGGGGGGGGGGTGAGGGGAGGGAAGGAGGTAGAACTGTTTTCTTTTGCAATTGCGATAGTTGTGGGACTTCGGAGCATGGATTTCAACTAAGCTGGGGGAAGTTTGCAACTGGCTGAGACATTTATATAAGAGCTGAGCTGCAGCCAAATAGTCTTAAGCCATATCAAAATCCCTATGTTATACATCCTAGCTAAGCCTAGCTAAGTTAGGGAGCTGGATTAGAACCTCAGTAAAATAACCATTTGATGACGATCTGTATAACGAACCAAAACTTGGGTTTGTCAGGAATGGAAATGTTTTTAGTTTTTGGTGCTAATCATTTAATTATAATTTAATTCATTTAAGTAGTATAATTCTTTAAAAGAAAGGAAAACATCCTTGTTTTAGGTTTAGCTATCTATCTATCTTAGTTAAACTAATAAAATCAGTTTACATTTTTAATTGTTGTGGTATCTAGTGTCAGGAAAAGCTAAGGACCTTAATTATAATTAAGTGAGATTAAAAGCCAAAAGAGCTAACAAAGGGTATTTTATTTAGAGGTTCCAGCTCCAATAAGTATTTAACTTGCATAAATTGATCAGATCTGGTTACCCTGTTCTCATCTATATCATGAGCTCTCATAGTAGTTAATAACCCAACGAGTTTAAAGGGAGTTGATCCAGATAGTTAATATACAAATAGGAGCCAAATCTTATGTCAAGTACAGAGTAACAAATTCGAATGGAGTTTGATTAAAGAATTTTGAAAATCTGTAAATCATAACAAGAAACTGTGCCCAAACTCAATACGCCAGCTAGAAACGCAAGCAACTAAATTTCAATTCAAATACGATTTGAGCCCGAGTCGAGTAGCCCAACTTGAGGCAATTAAGTAAGAGATAGTCAAGTTAAAGGTAAACACAAACGCACTCACCCGACATTGAGCCCAGTTCGCTGGAATGGTTATTATTGCTAAGATTTGTATTGTTGTTGTTATTACTGCTAATGTTGTTGTTGCTCTCCACAGATGATGATGTTAGACTACTTTGCGATGACTTCTCGAGCACATCGTGATCCTCCTTGCAGTACAGGGCGCCCGCGTCGCGTAACGCGAATTCATCGCCTGTTCAGTACCGAGAAATACCAATAATAAATAGATTAATAAATAAATAAATACACTATCGTGTGTGTGTGTGTGGGGGGGGTGGAAGGGGGGGTGGCAAAGGGCAACAATAACGCACCTGGCAGCAGTTGACGGGCACACGCTGAGCAACGAAAACATTCGATGTGAAAGATTTTCGTTTTGGCTCGCATCACAAAATCATTTTTGCTAAAGGAGTTACCGCATTTATCACATTTTGTACCAAATAACCTGCGAATAAAATAGGTGAAAGAGGAAGAAGAAGAAGATAGTCGCATGATTAGAGCCAATGTGAATAGGTATGTAAACAGCCTTGAATGCGTTCAAGTCGCTTGCTTATGACTATTAAACAAATATATATATATACAAAAATATATGAAATACTAAAGAAAATAAATAAAAAACAAGTGGGGAAGGGGAAAGGCGAGGCTGCTAGACAGGCAGATACCCCGTAGAATGTGATGCATTAGCCAATTGAGCTTTGTAGTATGTTTTAATACAAAAGTTGACTTCTTCCACTTTTAAGATTATGCACATTTCAATAATATTTTTAAATTTTATATTTAACATATCTATAATATATATATAGTTATCCTATTTATCCTACTGTGTAGCCATATACCTCGTAAGCTGGCTGCAGCTTTTATAGACGCCGAGTTTGATGAGGCAGAATATGCATATACATATAACATATTTATAGATATGCATTATATATTTTATTTTTTTTTATAGGTACTCAGTTGTCATGGCCCTCTTTTGGACATTTTATGGTTGTAGGGTATGCAAAAAAAAATAAATAAATAAATAAGAGTGAAGAAAAAAAAAAGGAAATGTAAACCAGCCGCGGTCTTTTGTGGCTGCCGCCCTGAACATCAATCATTTGTGCAGGTAAAGTGTTAATTTATAGCTTTGCACGTGTTAATCAATTATTCAAAGATTTGCATGGCAAATAGTTGGCAAGTCGCGACGATGCGACTGTAGAGTGACAGCCACCCCCCCCCCCCCCCTGACAAAACCCGCTCGCAAATGGCAATTTGTAAATGGTTGTTGTTGCAGTGATGAAATCCGTGAGATACCCGAAAGCAGCTCCACAGCTGTCGGCGGCCGTTTAGAATGTGTTTATTTGTACCCCAAACAAGAACCGTTGGCAAGCTCCATCTAATTGGCCTGGCCAACAAGTGACGGCTGCTACACTTCTGAAACAGGGCCAAGCGCATGATCAAGCCGAGCCTACTTGCTGTGCGGAGTGTACAGCGCGTGCGTAGGGTATATTCGCTGTCAGCCTACTAATTTCCACAATTAGCTCGTGATTGTAGAAGTGGCAAAATGTTTAGAGCAGCGCTAACAACTCGCGACTTATATAGGAAATCTTATTAATTTTCTATAGGAGCTGAAATTTTAAAGAGCCTGGAGTTTAAAGAGGAATGAGCCGAGAGAAAAGAAGAACATTTGTTTAAATTAAACATAAAAATAATAAATAAGTAAATCCTAGTCATAAGTAGCTGGAGCTTGGCGATTGTTTTTAAATATTTTATATAAGATCTCAATAAAAAACCATTCCATATTCGATTTACTCTAAGGCCTAGAAAACTTAGACTAAGCTCTTAAAAGTCGAATCCTACCTAACTGCATACTTTGAGTGTCATTAAGCTTTACCTTTTTTAAACTAAAAATTGATTTGCTAACAATTCTTGTGAATGCTAAATATGGAAAAACAATAATAAATAGAAAGGCAACTAGAACTAATTGCTTTTCTTAAGAGCTATATCTAGTTGCTTGAAGTCAATGTTAAATATCACTTACCTAACATAATCACGCTTGCAATAGGTTTTGCCATCGCGCACAAAACACGTACAGCTCTCGTCCAGAAATTGCCTGCATTCCTGGCACTTTAAGCACGCCGCATGCCATTCCAGATCGGGCGCAACGCGCAGTATATACTGATCGTGTATTTGGCCGCCGCAGCCCACACAATGCGACAGGCGTTGTTTTTCTGTAAGATCAAATAAATTCCAAACATATATAAGTATCTTATTTGCAATTGCATTAAATTTTAAATTCAAATGAGAATCGTGCGCTAATAATAGAGCTGGCTGCTATGACACTTCGGGCTCAGTTGCAACGCACTTAACAGAGCAGCACAGTTAGCAGCTGTTAGAATTGTTAGCGACTGCGAGCTATGTTAAGTTGTGCAGTTTGAATTTCATTAAAATTCAATTACATTTTTATTAGGATGATGAAAACTTGAAGTTTCAGCATTTTATTCAGTGCCGTCGGCAACTGACAGCGTCGGTAAATCACTTGGCGCTTTGTTTAATCTGCTGATGTGTTTTACATGAAGCTGGCGCTGCACTTTTAGCCAATTATGCGCCTCGATTTGCTGTAAACAAAAATAAGTAAGTCGCAAAACAAAGATGGCGCTAATTAACAAACTGCTATCAAATAAACCCAGAGCTGAGCCGCTGTGTGTGTGCTTGTGTGTTTGTGTGTTTGTGTGTGCCGCCCCAAAAATAAAACTTTTGCCGGAAAAACATTTGAAAAATTCATAAATCTGCCAAGCGGCGCACAAGTTTTCAAGTATTTAAGTTGGGTGCCTGGACCAAAAGTTGAGCCTTCAAAGCGCCAAAAGTTTGGGCTCGGGCGCCAAAAGCAGAAGAAAAAAAATCAATGCAATCATTGCCACATTATGTACGAGTGCTGCCAGTGCTGCCACCCCAAATGCTGCTAACGGCCCGCTATATATGTATATATAAATATATAACTATGTGTGTGTGTGTGTGCGTGTGTTGTAATCCTTGGCAGCACAGCGAAAAAAACTTTTGCAACAGGAAAAACTTTTCGCCTGTTGAAAAATTAAGAAAAACTTTGACGCGCGTTTAGCACGTTTTAAATGTTTCGCTGTGCCGCACACACACAAACACACAAAGATGCACACGCATACACAGAGAGAGCAAGCGACACACACGAAGCTTTGTGGCTGTTTCCTCTTTGTATCTTTAAACGTGGCTGCGTATCTCAGCGCGTTGTATCTGTATCTGCAAAGCAACTGCTGCTGTGTGTGTGTGTGTGTGTGTGTGTAGCTTGCGTATCTTTCGCACTCGCAGCCTCTGCACATGAATTATTTATAAAGGCGGAGCAGACAAGTTGCTGCCGTTGCCCGTTCGTTGTTGGGCCTTTTGTTGTTGTTGCTGTTGCTGTCTTTCTTTTTCTTTTTCTTTTTTTTTCGGCCTGCGCTTTTTTTCGCCTGGTTTTCTCGTTTGCTTGTATTTGTTGCTTTCATGCTTGAAGCATTTCAGACGCCAGCATTTACTTCCATGTGCCACGCCACCCAGTTATCCGCGCTGTCTCCCCCCCACCACCCCCAGCCATCACTCTCCACTCAGCCGGCCTTCAGCAGCAGCCTTCAAGCCCAAAGCTTCAAGCTACCCGGCCTCAGCCTTTGCCTTTTTGCGTGGCATGTGCGCTTTTTTCTGCCCGCATCTCTTTCGCACTCGCGCGTTCGCTGTCCCGCTCAAGCTGCCAGCAAAGCTACCCTATATAGTCAGTCATTGTTGTTGTTGTTGTTCTTGTTCTTGTTGTTGTTGTTGTTATTGTGTGCGTGGCCACCATTTTTCTTCTTCCGACTCCTCGCTGTTGTTGTTGTTGTCGCTTTTGGACAGCTTCTTTTGTATAAATTTCCAGGCTGCGTATCTTTTGCTGACTGACATTTCGCATTCATTGTTTGTTGCTGAGTGTGCGTGTGTGTGTGTGTGTAAGTGTAGGTGTTTGTCTGCCTTAATGATCCTGCGCAGTGCGTTTTCATTTTTCTTTGGGACCCCCTCGCACACACACACACACACACACACACATACACACGCACACACACCGCAGCCATTACGAGTCGTAATGGGAATTTAAGCGCAACTCCTGCGCTTGTATCTTTTTTTTGTTTTTTGTTTTAGAGGGGGGCTAAACTGGCGGGGTAGTTGGGTTTGGGGTTCTTTCCGCTTCTGCGGCGTATCTTTTGCATGTTGTGCTGCCCAAAACCACCCCATGAAAAATGTGTGTGTGTGTTTTTGGGGGTTGCTGACGCGCGCTGAGGCGGTTGGGGCGGCTGGGGCTGTTCTGGCTGGCTTTGGCAGTTGGCGCGCCGTGGTCTGCTCGATTTTTCGTTTTTCGGCGCTATTTGCGGCACACTTTGGGGTTTTTTGCGGGCGGCGGAGAGCGGAGGGGGGGGGGGGGGGTGTTTGCGGGCTGCGTGGGCACCGGCAAATGCAATTTTCGTCTCGTGTTTGTCGTCTATGAATTTTTCGACTGCGGCAGGCAGCAGGCAGCGGGCGGCACTTGCGGTGGGCCGGGCGAGGTGTGGCAGCACATGCGGCTGCTGCGGCTTTTTCACTTTTAACAAGCAACGTTTCGCAGCATTTGCAACATTTTGCAGCATTTGCAAGCTGCGTGTCATTTTTGCATGTTGTTCCATTTTGTTGTTCTGTTTTTCTATTTTGGCTATAAATTTTTCAATTAAACAACTGACAACAGGCGAGAGCAACAAAAAGAGCCAACACGTTGCTGTTGTTGTTGTTGTTGTTGTTGCTGCTGCTATGATCTTGGCTTCAACTTCAAGTTTTATTTTGTAGTGTTTAAATTTTAATGGCCGCACCTTTTGGCTGCTGTCTGCTCTTGAACCTTTTCTTCTCTAGCACTATTAGATATCTATACTCTAGCCAAAGGGGTACTTTGAATAGATTAAACTACTTGTAAAAAATGACAACAGACATTCAAAGTTAAAAAAAAGTTATTTGAATTACTATTAAAATAATTAAAAACTATTCAAGTAATTTTTAAATTAATGTCATTTTTATATTTTCAGTCACTGTCATTGTATTTATTTAACCCGATTTTTTTATAAAAACAATTTCAAAACATGCCTTAAAAAAGCTAAAGAGCATATCCTTAATTGGAACACCTGGAATATCCGTTTAAGCTGCTCATCAAATTAACAAAAAAAAAGTTGAAACTAATTGACAGGATCTGCTAAAATTTACATTTTTCTTGAATATAATTTACATTTTTAAGTGTATTCAAAGCGGGCGACTAGCGCAAAAATGGTTGCTCCTCTACAGATAAAATGTAAGGAAATCTACAACAAGCAGCTTAAATTAAAAAAAAAAGGAATCTCAAGATTTGTGTGCTGCACAGCAACACGTAGAGAATTCGTATCTGACTGAGTATCTTGCGCGTTTAAGCGTTTTTATCTAATTACACGCGTTTCGCTCGTGTACAGCCGGAGCTGAAGCTAAAGCTGGAGCTGGAGCCGAGCTCGACTGAGAAGTGGCCAGTTTGATGGATAGTTGAGTGCACTCTATGAATGATTTGAGCGACTGTCTGGGCCGTGCGATTGGGGCAATAAACATATCAAAGCCGAATAATGAACGCCCAGAACGCATGAGATGCGCAGCTTTAACCAGCAGCTGGGCTTATCGGAGTCGGCGATCTTTCAGAAGACCCAAATCGAACTGGGAAAAATGTATTTGCTGGCTGTGCAACCAGTTTTTTTTCTTTTCTCTCTTTTCTCTCTGTTGCAATGGCTGCCACAGACTGTGCCGTGCCACATGCCTGGACTGTGGCTGCAACAACTGCTGCGACTGCTGCGACTGCGGCTGCTGCATCAATGTTGTTGTTGTTGTCGACAACGGCAACATGCAAAATGCAAAGCATCGATAAGATATACACGAATACGTGCCCGAGAGTGCCGAGTGGTCCCCCAGCAGTCCATGGGGCACGTCGAAATTATGGAAGCTCTTGCGGATATGCGCGCGATTTCAAAAGCAACTACTGTTTAAGTCGCTGCAGGTTTCAGCTACCTTTTCCCCTTTTGCTGTTGTTGTTGTTTTGGTGTTGGTTTTGGTATTTTGATTTTTTGATTTATGGCGCATTTGGTTGAATGGAAACAGAAAGCGCAGCCACTGACAGTTGAAAAGCAAGTGCCGCCGCCAAACTAGGAATTTCACATGATCATAAAAGAGCCCAGAGACGCGACGACTGCGACGATTGCGACGACTGCGACGACTGCGACTCCCACAGGCCAGCACAAGCTGGCCGCGTGACTTCTACGAAAATTTGTCATTTTTCCAGGAATAACGCCAAGTTGTTTCCCCCCTCTCTCTCTCTCTCTCTCTCTCTCTGTCAGTTTTTTAGTTCGTTCTTTTTACCTGGTCCAGCGAACGCTTAAAAAATTAATGATGACAGCGCTGGGAACACGTGCCGCGTCCTGTACTGTTTCTGTATCGTTCGCCGATTTTCGATTTCTCGCATTCACATTTTGACAGACTCATCAATTTTGTAGATACGTAACGAGCGCTCATCCTGGCAGCCTTCATTTCACTCTCCATGCCCTGCCCTGGGCTCTTGCCACTGATTAGGCAACATTCGCTGGCCATTGTTTTGAGCTCAGAGCGTGGGCAGGGGCTGCCCTGCCACACCTCCGCCTCCTCCTACTCCTACTCCTTGCTGCTCGGCCATTGTCTGGCTCTGGCTGTCTGGTCCGTCCCGGCTGGTCACTGGTTTTTGTGTGGAAGGAAGCTTTGTGGTTTTTGATTTGTTTGTCTGCCTCTGCTTGCTGGGATCCTATCAATTATGTGCCCGCTCTACCTCCATCTGTGTGTGTGTGTGTGTGTGTTTGCGTTTGTGTGTGCTGCAATTTTGGGCTTTTCTGCATTTGGACTGTGCGTCTCAAGTTGGCTTAATTAAGTGCAGTTGCTTTGACAATGACAACGTAATCTTCGATTTAGCTATAAGCCACATCAAAAACAATGTACCGCCTTCCATAAACATATCCACAGATATCGATTGCCGTATGTATGCATATTGATATAGTATGTGTGTTTGTGTATATAAATTTGCCTAATTAATTACACAAAACACCAAAGAGCATTTCGATTGGGGCACAAATCGAAAAAAGATGCGGCACAAGAGAACGGGTTAAATGTAAGCTACAGATGGTAGCGTGAGCAC